CTGAGTCTTCGTCGACATGAATTCCGAATTCAAAAGCCAAGTCTGCCATATCTTCCAGCTTAATTCGCTTTGGAGAACTCTTCAAAAGGTTTCGGATAAGAGTCTGCACTTGCCTTACCATGTCTGCTTCATTGTTCATTGGTTCTTTCAGTATACAATGCGACCTATTGATTTTTAACAATTGCAATATTTTTGAGAGATAATCAATTGTTTCCTCGTTGACCTGTTTACCATCAGGTGGACAGATGATGAAAAAAAAATTAGCATTTCCTGGCTCACAGTCTGATAGCCACTGGTAATGTTCTTTTTCTATGCTTTCGGCAAAAATTAGCACGGCAGATGAAACATGTGTTAAAAAAGAGAACTGGGTCAAGTTAGACTCCAAATTTCCTCTTAGATTGGTCACTGCAATAGGCTCTGGGAAAATGTCAGAGTGCTCTCGCCCCGCTGGAAAGTACCAGGATATTTCTAGAAGTCCATCTGAAATTGTGCGAGGACTAAACCCTGATTCTAGATCTCGATGTATGAAGATGTCATGGTGTGTGTGAGATGGGCTGAGAACTGCATTGAGTAACTTAGACTTGGATACATTGCATGTCCCTAATCTCATAAAGGAAAACGTTGGCATCGGAATATTCACCAAATTTTCTTCACAAAATCCTCTGATACTGATTAACGAATGAGGAGTCCACATTTTCACTATGTCTCTCATTGCCCAGAGCATAAGAGTGTATGTCTTCCCATCACCCGCAGGGAGCAGCAGAGGAACGGCAAATTGGCAAGTGGTCATTTTCAATAGAATTTGTTGTTGCAAAGAATTATCTGAACAATGAAGAAAAGCACATAGTACATCAAGAGGGTGGATGGAAATAATATCTTCAGAATTAGACTGAAAACTGAGATACAGATCTGGATCAGATGAATGAATATTTGGACGAACACCTGGCCTTGTGTATCGGGCACTTTCATCCAAAGTGAGGAGTTTTCTTAGGAATTGCTGCGGCTCATCTTCTGATATTGAAAAGCCACTCAGAACCTCTTCCCCAATGCAGAGTATTTGCTGGAGTGAGAGCTTGGACCTTTTATGATTCCCCAGGTTTAACTGCAATAGTAGCTCATCCAATGGCTTTCTTTGGCCTAAACAAAATGAAGAGAAAATTTAATTAATCCCTCTTTCACCTGGGAGAGACGAGCCTTCATGAGGTCATTTAGTGTGTCTCACTCTGCTACTGTCCAACTATACGCACCTATCCTTAGCGCTTATTCCTACTATCAGTAAATATAGATAAAAATATTTTGTAAATAGATCAGTAGGTTTGCTCTTTCATTGTCCTGTGTCCATTTCCACCTGAAAACCTGACTCTTCCCTACAGGAACTGTCTAGCTGTGATCTGTTTTTATGGAACACTTCCTTGCTCTATTTGACTTTACCCTAGTCTCCAGGCCTTCAATAAATCCTTAAAACCTTCTAATTTAGAGTATATCAGGTACCATTTTAATACCTCACTTCCTGGTTGCCCCACATCCTCCCAACTTTCCTGCACAAACCCTATCTTACTCTACCAATGCAGGACAGGGTGTGGAGCTAGCCAGGGTATGCCGATGACCAGGCTGTGGGTGGGATTGCCAGGAAAAATGTGTGGCCACCATCAGTAAATGACATGTATGCAAACTAGCAGGCAGGTGGCTGGCCGGACCCACTCAGGGCAGCGCATGCACAGAGCTCTGTTGAAGCAATCTTACATGGAGTGAACTCCCTAGTTACATAGCGCATGCACATCTAATTATGCACTCACGTTAAACTTGTTGGGGACATGTCTCTGGTTCTCTAGAATTGGGACACAACAGCACAAACTGGGATAGCAGGGCAGGAGCCTTACATTGGGACCGTGCTGCAAAATGCAGGAACTTAGGAATGTTAGGCAGTATACCGCTACAGCTGTCATTTGTCCTATAATTTATATTTATGTGATTGCACCCTACTCCCTTTAAACTGAGCAGGATCCTCAACACCCATTATGCCTGTCAAACTTGTTTTGATTGTTTTGTACATTACTCCTGAACCCATTTAATACAAATATTATTAATCATAACATTAAAGTAATTACGGAAACAACTTAGCCCACTTTAAAATCGTTCAGTGGGATTACTCACCCCAGAGGACCTGGGCCAGCTCTGGGAGTTCAGATGTTCTTTCTTCTAAGTAGCTGAGACATTGCTGACAGTCAGGTTCTCCTTCCCCTAGTTTCAGATTTAAATAATATTCGATTCTCTCTTTCAGGTTACAGTCTGTTGGCATTTGAGTTTGTTCCTCCAGAGTAATGGGCAGCACCTCCAGTAACAGACTCAAGTCAGCGATCTTATCCAACTCATTCTTCAAATGACGAAGGCTCTCCGAGGCATGTTCACTGTTATCCATGATTTATCGAGACTTTAGGGTTTAGAACAAAATATATGTATGAGTGTTATTATTTAAAAAGCCAAGATTACAATATCAGCTAGGGGTATATTTTAAAGAGATTACCTTCTAATGCACAGAGAAACCCTGTGCACCAGAATGTACCCTGTAGTTTTTGCAAAGTGTTTCTAGATATATTCTCAATGAAAAAATGCATAATTAAATGTGAATGTTGTATTGGGGGCATATCCCAAAGCAGCGCAATGAGAAGTCTTTTCAAGGCAGTTGCTCTGGGCAGTCTCTTGAATTTAGCTCCATTGTATTAAGCAAACCAGGAAGTAACAGGTCTGGGTGTCTGATTGACAGCCAGGGGGGTGTAACCAGTATAATTTATAAAAGTGCCAGTTTTTATTGAAATCTGCACTTTTTGTAAAGCACCTCAGCAAACTAAACTGATTGACTGGTCCCTAGTGTCCCTTTAATACAGAATTGATATCTGTTGGTTTATCAAGTTAAACACAGAATGACAATTAAGTAAATTCAAATAGCTCAATTTAAGCTAAAAGAGACCAGCTGTGATTCTTGCTGAGTTAAAGGGACACTCCAGGCACCCAGACCACTTCTGCCCATTGGAGTGGTCTGGGTGCCAACTCCCACTACCCTTAACCCTGCAAGTGTAATTATTGCATTTTTCATAAACTGCAATATTTTCCTTGCAGGGTTAAGTCCTCCTCTAGTGGCTGTCTACTAGATAGTCACTAGAGGACACTTCCTGCTTCATAGAACATGAAAAGTGTGTTTTAATGACGCTGGACATCCTCACAATATGTGAGGACCTCCAGCGTCACCGACATGCCCATAAGAAAGCATTATTCAATGTTTTCCTATGGGTAGGTTTAATGCGCGTGGGCGGCATTGTCGTGCATGCGCATTAGGTCACCCCCGCCTTTATATACTTTCTCTCTCACACACACACACACACACACACACACTTGTGCACACGTACTCACACACTCATTCTCACAAACATAATCACTCATACACACACGTACACTATTCCAATACTAACACACACAATCATGCACACATTCTGGGATTTCTGTGCTCTGACCGCATAGCTCCCACGCACACATTGTAGTGATGCATGGACCATAGTGACATCACATAACAGCTCATGGCATCACTACTAGTCGCACAAGTGAGCAGTGCAAGCAGAGCACAATGTGATCACAGCTCCCTCAGTGCCATGACCCCCCCACCCCAGGATCCTGGATATTTAGTGAAACCCCCAAAACGTGTGGCATTTCTACTTACAGAAGAAAAAAAAACACCCAATATAATTACATTGCTCCAAATGTGCGGGTGTAACCCAATGGATTCTATTCAGAAAATTATAATGCATAATTTGTATTAATTTATTTTTTATAAATGAAAAGTTGCTAAAAATATTTTGCAGTTTGGAGATTATAAAATGTATAATTAACCCCAGATTTGCATTAGAACTTAAAACATCAACAGACTTTAATGATCTTACAGGTGAAAGCAATGCAGCCATTAGCCAATAATTGGTAATAATTATTTACCTGAAATCCATCAATTGTCCCAGGTTAGATGCTCTGCTCACTGGGGATGATTGTTGTGAGAGAATGCTGGCTATTACTGAAAATGGCCGGTAAAACGTGATATACCTCAGTAGCCCAACTGCTCGATACTTTGAATAAACACTGTGCTTTCCCAGAAATGGAAGGAAAAAATAGCTTCTCTACTTCTTTCACTTTCATTTTTACTGGGTGTCTGCACACACTCGGGTTACTGCCTGCTGTCAAATGTGATGTCAATGTTAAAGGGAAACATTCTTCATGTATGGTTATTTTATTCATAATTAAAGATTATCAAAACTAAGGAAAAGAGCTTTTATCTGTAATAACATTCTGAAAGGGGGTAACGCTGTGACAAAGGTCAGCACAAAAAGAAGGAATCTAAAGTGTTAATCTGGGTTTTTGGGGAATAATTAAACTAAAACTTAACTTTCATTCATATATGGTTTAAAAATTGCATTTGGCTTAAGTGCAAATTCACACAAATAGTGATAAATCAAATGAAAGTGAAACGAGAAAGAAACAAAAAACAAAAAAAGTATATGCAATAAAATGTACCTAAAAAAGGTAAACGGGGATATCGCCTAAATATCGCTAATCGATGGCTCACCTAATAGAAACTGGCAGGACTGGTTGCCTAGTTTCTAAATAGCTCTGCTCAAGCAACTGGTCCCTAACTGTGCCTTCGAGGGCACCTATCTATAGTGCCAGCAACCATAGGCGTGCGCAGCCTATTGCATTAGGGTGTGCACCCTAAAGCACAAGCACATGCCGCATATATATATGTATGTATGTATATATATATATGTGTATATATATATATATATATATATATACACACACACTGCTGTGTGTGTGCTGTGTGAGGGTGCTGTTAGTGTGATGTGTGTGTGACGGTGCTGGTAGTGTGCTATGTGGGTGAGGGTGTTTGTGTGTGCGTGCTTGTGAGGATGCTGTTAATGTACTGTGTGTGAGGGTGCTGTTTGTGTGTGTGTGTGCTTGGAGGGTGCTGTTAATGTACTGTGTGTGAGGGTGCTGTTTGTGTGTGAGGGTACTGGTAGTGTGCTGTGTGTGTGTTTGTTAGGGTCCTGTTTGTGTTTGTGAGGGTACTGTTAGTGTGCTGTGTGTGTGTGAGGGTGCTGTTTGTGTGCTGTGTGTGAGGGTGCTGTGTATGTTTGTGAGGGTGCTGTATGTGTGTGTGGGTGCTGTATGTGTGTGGGTGCTGTATGTCTGTGGGTGCTGTGTATGTCTGTGGGTGCTGTATGTGTGTGGGTGCTTTGTATGTCTGTGGGTGCTGTGTATGGGTGCTGTATGTGTGTGGGTGCTGAATGTCTGTGGGTGCTGAATGTATGTGGGTGCTGAATGTATGTGGGTGCTGTATGTGTGTGGGTGCTGTGTAAGTCTGTGGGTGCTGTATGTGTGTGGGTGCTGTATGTGTGTGGGTGCTGTATGTGTGTGGGTGCTGTGTATGTCTGTGGGTGCTGTATGTGTTTGGGTGCTGTAAGTCTGTGGGTGCTGTATGTGTGTGGGTGCTGTATGTGTGTGGGTGCTGTGTATGTCTGTGGGTGCTGTATGTGTGTGGGTGCTGTATGTCTGTGGGTGCTGTATGTGTGTTGGTGCTGTGTATGTGTGTGTGTGCTGTATGTGTGTGGTGCTGTGTATGTCTGTGGGTGCTGTATGTGTGTGGGTGCTGTGTATGTGTGTGGGTGCTGTATGTGTGTAGGTGCTGTGTATGTCTGTGGGTGCTGTATGTGTGTGGGTGCTGTATGTGTGTTGGTGCTGTGTGTGTGATTGTGGGGGGTGGAGGTGGGGGTACATTAATTGCTATCCCCCCTCCCTTCTTACCTTTTGTAGGGAGGGGGGATCGTGCTCCTGATTCCATCCCTGGTGGTCCAGTGGAGAGTGAACTCTAACCCCTGTGGGGCTAGAGTTCACTCTCGCGAGATTTGAGCGTTGCCATGCAACGCTCAAATCTCGCAAGAGGAACCCGGCGGAGCTGCCGGCAATAGCTCCGCCGGTCCTCTCCTGCCTCCCTCCCTGCATGTGGGTCAGTGTGGAGGGAGGCTGAGAGCAGAGCCGGCGCTCGGATAGCGCCGGCTCTGCATGAGCCGACAGGGGAGATCCTGAGATCTCCCCTGCCGGTCTCAATACACATAGGCGTGCCGCGGGGATTAGGGTGTGCCCAGGCACAACAGGCACACCCCGTGCGCACGCCTATGCCAGCAACTAGCTGTTAGATCTACCCCCGAAGTCCCTAACTGTGCCTTCGACAGCACCTATCAGTGATCTAAGTGAGTCTAACTGACAATATGGACCACGTCCTTACAAGGCAATTAGTTAAAATGCTAGCTATGAAAAATAGTGGATCCTTTTACTAAATATCAAATTTAAGAAAACTGCTGCTCACTTCTTGCACCTTTGTAATTGTTATCGGACACACGCGTTTCGCCACCAGGCTCATCAGAGGGGGAATTAATAAGATAATTAAAGATTGCATATATTACAACCTCTGTATGTATTGTTTTGCAGTGTATATCTATATATAAGTAAATACCTTTTTTTAAGTGCATCTCCTTAAAGAAGTTATCTTTAAAGCGATATGGCCCCATTTGACAGCTTTACATTTTGGCAAAGATCCTCCCAGGTGGCATGTTTGCTTACGAGAATCGATTGGTTAGTTAATATACTTGGCTGAACCTCTTGCTCATCTTGTTAGGTATGCACATGTATAGACTTATCAGAGTATTTGCATAGGAGTAGATAGTGGTATAATAAAACGTATTATAATGTATGATAACAGAGCAGAGAAAGTGTGGGCCTCCCAGGCACCCATACGTCTGCGACAGGAATTTATTTTCTCTATTTAATCCAAGTCCATTATTGAGAATACATTGTAGGACAGAATATCTTGACTGCAAACATCTGACTTGGAGAATGTTTCCAATTCTGCTATTTCTGCCTCAAATTAAAATTTCACTTGAACTTTAACTTTGAGCTACCATTAATTCATACTTTAGTGGTTCAGCTACTTTGATATAAATTTGAGCATATATATCAATGCTTCTTGTTTTTTTCACTGAGGCTTTACTGTTTCTAGGAACATTTGGTTTGCTCTTTTCAAAAACATTGCCCCAAAATTACTCTTTATACAGAACCCTCTGCGTCTTGGAAATCCAGGAGAGGGCAGGTTTAAGAGGACAGGGGGTAATTGTTCCCCCAGGGGCACTAAGAGGAGTTGAGGGACGCAGCCTCACTTATTTAAGGGGTTTGCATTATCTGTCAGCAGGTCCTATGGTATAAATATAGTAAAGATATACTAAGACACTTATATTTGCTTAATAAGCTTTTATTTAGAACATAGAGCCTGATGTCATTGTTTTGTTTTTTTTCAGATATGTGAATATTTAGGCTTTCTATCTCGACCTTCTGTTGCTTTTCTTGTTATTTTTAATACTATATCCACGACATGAAGAGGGTTTTGCAATAAGATAGGGTTTATTGGCCATCCATTTACGGTATACCCTCCTCCCAACAGTTGCTTTGTTCTCTGTATTCGTCCAAGGCATGGTTTCATAGTTGTAGAGACGGCGTCTCTTCAGAGGTTGGAGTCCCATGGATGGACTGGTTCTTTGACCTTTTGGTGTTCTGGGAGCATGAGCCATCTCGAATGTTCTTTCAGGCGTCTTTGCCTCCAATGTTGGTGAAGTTGGGGGATCGTCTTCAGGCGTGGTTGACACATCCACTTGCAAAGCCAAAGTAAAGTCACAGTCGGGAACTAAGATCTCACAGTTTGATTGAGTGAGAAAATACATTTCTGTTTCTGCCATCAATATTCCTAAACATTAAAAGAGAATTATTATTAAAAAATTTTTAATAAAACTGCTAACATTTATGTATACTGAACAAAATTATAAATGCAATTGGGTTTTTGCCCCCATTTTTCATAAGCTTAACTCAAAGATCCAAGAGTTTTTCTATGTACACAAAAGGCCTATTTTTCTCAAATATTGTTCACAAATCTGTCTAAATCTGTGTTAGTGAGCACTTCTCCTTTGCCGAGATAATCCATCCACCTCACAGGTGTAGCATATCAAGTTGCTAATTAGACAGCATGATTATTGCAAAGGTGTGCATAAGGCTGGCCACAATAAAAGGCCACTCTAAAATGTGCTGTTTTATCACACAGCACAATGCCACAGATGTCGCAAGTTTTAAGGGGGTGTGCAATTGGCATGCTGACTGCACGAATGTCCACCAGAGCTGTTGTCCATGAATTGAATGTTAATTTCTCTACCATAGGCATTTCATAGTATTTGGCAGTACATCCAACTGGCCTCATGACCACAGACCACGTGTAACCACACCAGCCCAGGACCTCCACATCCAGCATCGTCACCTCCAAGATCGTCTGAGACCAGCCACCTGGATAACTGCTGCAACAATCGGTTTGCATAACCAAAGGATTTCTGCACAAACTGTCAGAAACCATCTCAGGGAAGCTCATCTGCATGCTCGTCATCCTCATCGGGGTCTTGACCTGACTGCAGTTCGTCGTCGTAACCGACTTGAATGGGCAAATGTTCACATTCTATGGCGTTTGGCATTTTGGAGAGGTGTTCTCTTTACGCATGAATCCCAGTTTTCACTGTACAGGGCAGCTGGCAGACATCATGTATGGCGTTGTGTAGGCGGGCGGTTTGCTGATGTTAAAGTTGTGGTTCAAGTGGATCATGGTGGCGGTGGGGATATGCTATGGGCAGGCGTATGTTATGGACAATGAACACAGGTGCATTTTATTGATGGCATTTTGCATGCACAGAGATACTGTGACGAGATCCTGAGGCCCATTGTTGTGCCATTCTTCCACGACCATCATCTCATGTTGCAGCATGATAATGCACGGCCCCATTTTGCAAGGATCTGTACACAGTTCCTGGAAGCTGAAAACATCCCAGTTCTTGCATGGCCAGAATACTCACCGGATATGTCACCCATTGAGCATGTTTGGGATGCTCTGGATCAGCGTATACGACAGCGTGTTCCAGGTCCTGTCAATATCCAGCAACTTCGTACAGCCATTGCAGAGAAGTGGACCAACATTCCACAGAGCGCAATCAACAACCTGATCAACTCTATGCGAGGGAGATGTGTTGCATTGTGCGAGGCAAATGGTGGTCACACCAGATACTGATTGGTTTTCGGACACTCCCCAAACTCCCCAATTCAGTAAAACTGCACATTTTAGAGTGGCCTTTTATTGTGGCCAGCCTAAGGCACACCTGTGCAACAATCATGCTGTCTAATCAGCATCTTGATACCTGTGAGGTGGATGGATTATCTCGGCAAAGGAGAAGTGCTAACTAACACAGCTTTAGACAGATTTGTGAACAATATTTGAGAAAAATAAGCCTTTTGTGTACATAGAAAAAGTCTTAGATCTTTGAGTTCAGCTCAGTGTTGCATTTAGAATTGTGTTCAGTGTATCTCATGCACAAAGGACACGGTGACAAATTATAGAGTATGAGATTCCATCAATTCATCATGACAATTTAATAACGTTTCCAACTCCATACTGTTAGAAAACGTTTCCAAATGATTGATCCACAAATATTCATATAGACTTCCATGGTTACTTCTTTAGATAAATCAGTTTTTCTAATAGTATTGAAACATATTGAAAGCTTGTTCGTGTCCCAATCTGCAAATCTTCTTAACGCATGTATTGACTGTTTGAACTACTTTTCAATAAAAACAGATTTACAAAAAAAAAAAAGAAAGCTTGTTAAATCAAGGCCTACATTCGATCAATTTCCAGAAAATGTATAGATAAAATGTTATTTAAATTTGATTTTGGTTATTATCTATATGTTCTGCAGCAAATACCCAGAACTCTTTAAGTTTCCTGCAAGAGAATCTCTATTGTATCAGCAAAAACACAAGTCAAAACCATTGCTTTGTGGTGGACCTGTGTTCATTGTGGGAAAGGTCAGATAACTGGATGCAAACTGTACATAAGTGAACTGTTTAACCTTTATATCTGTTAGCAGCGTCTCTGCTACAAGATATAGATTGAATTTTAGAATTTGTCTAAAGCTAGGGATTTGGGGGGGTACAAACCCGAAACATGTATTTCTTAGTCGTGGTGCTGCTGTAATGACCAAAATATATACAAAATGCAGATTAAAGGACCACTATAGTGCCAGGAAAACAAACTTGTTTTCCTGGCTCTATAGTGTTAATAGGGCCCCCCACCCTTAGGGTCCCACTTCCGCTGGGCTGAAGGTGTTAAAACACTTACCTTTCTCCAGTGCATGGCTCCCTCGGCGCTGGTAACTGTCCTCCCTCTGCAGACGTCAGCGCAGAATGTGCAAGTGCGGCCAGAGCTGCGCACGCATTCAGACCGCCCATAGGAAAGCATTACTCAATGCTTTCCTATGGACATCAGCGTCTTCTCACTGGGATTTTCACAGTGAGATTCGCGGAAGCACCTTTCTCTGAAACTGCTATGTTTAAAGCTGCAGGGTTAAAACTTGAGGGCCTGGCACCCAGACCACTTCATTGAGCTGAAATGGTCTGGGTGCCTATAGTGGTCCTTTAAGGTGAATTGGGACATCATTGCAGGTGACAAGCCATCTTTTTAAAGAAACCACATCTATAATTAAAGGATCTCGGTAACATCGTCATATTAGATTACTGCTTAGTCTATTTAGTTTCAAGGCCCTCACCCCTTTATAGGTTACAATAAATTTTAAAAAAATTGCCATAAAACCTACCTTTATCCAAGCACTAGGTAGCCTCCTCAATACTGCCGCTCTGCCTCCACTGAAGTTATCATCCTTGATGACTTTGTCCTTTTTGTCCATTGAGGACATACAGCAACTGAGTGTCAATCCCTCCGCCAATCACCAGTGTTTTTCTTCATCATGCTGGATGTGTCTGACCACTAGAGGCATGTTCTCTTATAAATGTAAACATTGCCATTTTTCAACAACAGCAGTGTTTACACTTGTGAGAGAAAAGGACAGATTACAATACCTACTGTAAAGGGCACCTGTCGTGCCCCAAACAACATATGCTCAGTAGATATAGGATACAATTTTATCTAAACATTGTGCTAGCAGTTTTGATAGGAAATATAAAGATTAGGAGAAAAATCTATTTAAAAAATGTTTTTTTTCTCCCAGCTGTCAGTCAATGCCGTGACATGCCAAGGAAGAGCAGAAAAAAACATCAACAGGAGGCCCCTCTGCTCTTTACCCATACCAACCTCAACCATCTCTGGCTAGGGGGTACAGGAACAGAGTGGTGTGACGTCATTCCGTTACAATGGTGGCATGCTGGCAACTAAGCCAGCTTGCCAACATCACTGGGGAGACTTGCATCTCGGGGTAGGCAAATTCAAGAAGAGACAGGCGGAATGGAGGATGACCCTGAGATGGGTGTTGCATGCCACAAAACGGTGCTGGGATGGAGGAAAGGGGATAAAAATCAATATCTATTACATGGAATATACCATGCATCATTGTGATATATGGCGTATTCAATGCATTTGGCAGTGATTTCAGGTAAGTGAAATTTTTCATTAAAGATTCACTTTAAGATGTAGTAGTTCTAAAGCTCAGACTGTCCCTTTAATAAAAATATATATTTTTTAGAAAACCTATACAAAACTGCATTAGAATTGGTTGGCTTTGTTTTGTTAATTATAATAGTTAGAGGTAAGGAAGTCCGATTTTGACTTTAAGGAATTGGTTACATGTTGAGATTATTTTTGAGTTCTGTTTAGACTATCGGTGTGTAAGCAATCATGGAGCTACGTTTCCGCCATTCAAACAAGATGGTTATTTTTTTTTTCTTTAATAATTTTTACTGACATCTGAATGAAGTCTCTTACCTTGGGTATCATTGATTGGCGCTGCATTGTCCATTGAGTGTGGTATGTCTGGGATGAGGTCTTCCACGGGTAGAGTCACCATACCTTGCCCCTCTCTGGTAGGTGGAGAAGACATTTTTCTAATAAAAGAGTTTTGAAGCCAAAAAACCTGTGTTTGCTCTGACCAAAATTATAGATGGGTATGTGGCATTAGTCACTCACTGTGTACCTTAATAAGAACTGTTGTGATTTGCATTCACCTCCTTTTATAGCCACAGATGACATCATAATTATGCTTTATGACATGGTGATGATGTAATTTTACCATAGAGAACATGTGTGTACCATAGAGTATCTTGATAGGCCAGAAAGTACACGTATAATAAAAGCCTGTAAAAGTACTCACTGGATGCCACTACACAGCCAAGTTGATCAAATATCTTGCCTTATAATGAGATAGCCTTTTATTAGTGTCATCTCATCATCGTTCTGCAAATTGTCCTGTTCAACGCCCAATCTTTTACGTACATGAAATAATTTATGTTTTGTTTTCGTACTCGGTCCGGAGGTTATAATTATAGATTGTGAAGGCTGTGATTAAATGCATCTAAATTACATTATAAGGATATTTTATACACATCTGGTGGTTAAATATTTTATTTGTAAAGATATGACACATTAAGCTGCATGCCCGTGATGCAACTTGTGTGACTGGCACGACTTAACATGGGCATCCTGTCCAGAACCGAGAAGGGAGGAGGGAGGTGTGGTGCCCAGCAGACCCGCGCACGTGGCAGACCATGCAGAGAGCGCTGCTGAAGCATTTTAAGAAAGGTTTAATAACTAGCTTGGGGTCCGCTGGGCACCCATCACTGCTTTACTGCAAGGAAGTGCCACTAGCTGCATTGAGCTAAGCCCTGCTATGAAGACCCGGCTCACTGGCTCTCAGTGCTCCCAGCCAAACAGCGGGGGCTGTGGGGCCTTGCATTGCCGGGCTTAGCTCAGTGCGTCTGGGACCAGTGAAGGTGGCGGAAGCCATCATACAGTCTGACTGCAGCATTATACACACTCAGGAAATCACTCCCCCCCCTCTTCCCCTTTCCTTGTCCTGCATTGTGAAATAAACTGGATTGAACTGGAGTGGAAGAAACCATACGCAACATGTGAAGGGGTGCAGTACATCTTGTGTCTATGTAACACATAGGATATAGAACATATACTATGCAGAGCACGTGTCAGGTTACAAAATGCAGAGCAGTGTGCTCGTGGAACATGCAAAATCTCTCTGTGACGTGCAGAACAATGTGCATTCATTTATTTATAAAATTAACTTGCAGAGCAGAGTGTACCCGTAACATGCAGAGCTGTGTATCTGTAACATGCAGAGCAGAGTGTACCCGTAACATGCAGAGCTGTGTATCTGTAACATGCAGAGCAGAGTGTACCCGTAACATGCAGAGCTGTGTATCTGTAACATGCAGAGCAGAGTGTATCCGTAACATGCAGAGCTGTGTGTCTTTAACATGCAGAGCTGTGTATCTGTAACATGCAGAGCAGAGTGTATCCGTAACATGCAGAGCTGTGTATCTGTAACATGCAGAGCAAAGTGTATCCGTAACATGCAGAGCTGTGTATCTGTAACATGCAGAGCAGAGTGTATCTGTAACATGCAGAGCTGTGTATCTTCTATGTAAGGCCCGAGTAGCCGAACTGAAAGCTCTGCAGACTTTTAGAATTTTTATAGTTCAGCAATTTTAACCTTGATTTACAAATTCAGTAAGAATTCACCTTGAATTCTCACCTTAGTGAAAACCTCTAACCCTGTTTTGTTGCCAACTTATGAGTGCGTGACCTTCTGCATTTTACCCGAGTGATATTGTATATAATTATTACAGCAGGACTTACACTTTCCACGTTTCGCTAGCCATGGGCCAGTCAAGATGTAGCCCTGATGAGTTGAAATTCACCCCTGCTGAGTGTGCCATGGACCCTCCGGGCTTGTAGTGGCAAGTGACTATTCAGGCCTGGCTAGTAACATGGGACTTAAAATTTGAAGCTCTGATTAGTGTCTGACACAAACACACAAATAAACATTACAACAAAGAACTGAATGGGTTAATGGGAGTTGTAGTCTACTTGTACTTGAACTGGTTTGTTTATTTCTCAGAATGCGGTCTGTAATAGTTAACACCTTAATGACCAGGGTTAAAGGACTCCCTACAATCCCCTCCCTAATGCTTCCTGTAGCGCATATCAAACATCCCCACCTATTGATAATGTCTCTGTTATTCAAATGTTGGCATAGACTGGACAATGGCCTCCCTGTACAGCTAGTGCGACCCTCATTATCCTGCAAATGAATGGAGACACAGCCTTATCACAATAACACAAGGCGATTTACATTAAACGGGAGGAGACATTTTGTGTGACGTCTCTGTTGACTCCATTAAAAAAACCTTTTCAAACCTAGGCCGCAGTATATAATAGATTGCAGCTCGGCCCTGTGTTTGGGGGGGAAATGAGCCATTATTAAATTTTTTATTTATTTTACCAGGAAGGATATATTTTAAGTATTATGTGGAGAACACGTATAAACAAGAACGTGACACATTTACTACAAGATGATATATACAATATTACTATACATTAGCTTACTGACAAAACTCGTGATAAATAACAGCTGATCTACCAAAATTCCCCAACTTGAATATAATCACAGACTGTCTACATTTGCCTCAGTTTTATCATTCGGAATTAATTAGCAAAAATTAGTTTAGGACCTGGAGTGAGGCTCAGGTAGTGTGTGTTAAAGGAGGTGTGGGGAGCTCCAGGGAGTGTGCTGCTCAGGTAGTGTGGGTTATAGGAGTTGTGGGGAGCTGCAGTGAGCGTGCTGCTCAGGTAGTGTGTGTTATAGGAGGTGTGGGGAGCTGCAGTGAGCGTGCTGCTCAGATAGTGTGGGTTATAGGAGGTGTGGGGAGCTGCAGTGAGCGTGCTTCTCAGGTAGCGTGTGTTATAGGAGGTGTGGGGAGCTGCAGTGAGTGTGCTGCTCAGGTAGTGTGGGTTATAGGAGGTGTGGGGAGCTGCAGTGAGCGTGCTTCTCAGGTAGTGTGTGTTAAAGGAGGTGTGGGGAGCTGCAGTGAGCGTGCTGCTCAGGTAGTGTGGGTTATAGGAGGTGTGGGGAGCTGCAGTGAGCGTGCTGCTCAGGTAGCGTGTGTTATAGGAGGTGTGGGGAGCTGCAGTGAGTGTGCTGCTCAGGTAGTGTGGGTTATAGGAGGTGTGGGGAGCTGCAGTGAGCGTGCTGTTCAGGTAGTGTGTGTTATAGGAGGTGTGGGGATCTGCAGTGAGCGTGCTGCTCAGGTAGTGTGGGTTATAGGAGGTGTGAGGAGTTGCAGTGAGTGTGCTGCTCAGGTAGCGTGTGTTATAGGAGGTGTGGGGAGCTGCAGTGAGCGTGCTGCTCAGGTAGTGTGGGTTATAGGAGGTGTGGGGAGCTGCAGTGAGCGTGCTGCTCAGGTAGTGTGTTATAGGAGGTTGGGGAGCTGCAGGAGTAGTGTGGGGAGCTGCAGTGAGCGTGCTGCTCAGGTAGTGTGTGTTATAGGAGGTGTGGGGAGCTGCAGTGAGCGTGCTGCTCAGGTAGTGTGGGTTATAGGAGGTGTGGGGAGCTGCAGTGAGCGTGCTGCTCAGGTAGTGTGTGTTATAGGAGATGTGGGGATCTGCAGTGAGCGTGCTGCTCAGGTAGTGTGGGTTATAGGAGGTGTGAGGAGTTGCAGTGAGTGTGCTGCTCAGGTAGCGTGTGTTATAGGAGGTGTGGGGAGCTGCAGTGAGCGTGCTGCTCAGGTAGTGTGGGTTATAGGAGGTGTGGGGAGCTGCAGTGAGCGTGCTGCTCAGGTAGTGTGTGTTAAAGGAGGTGTGGGGAGCTGCAGTGAGCGTGTTGCTCAGGTAGTGTGGGTTATAGGAGGTGTGGGGAGCTGCAGTGAGTGTGCTGCTGCTCAGTGAGCTGCTCAGGTAGTGTGGGTTATAGGAGGTGTGGGGAGCTGCAGTGAGCGCTGCTCAGGGTAGTGTGTGTTATAGGAGGTGTGGGGAGCTGCAGTGAGTGTGCTGCTCAGGTAGTGTGTGTTATAGGAGGTGTGGGGAGCTGCAGTGAGCGTGCTGCTCAGGTAGTGTGGGTTATAGGAGGTGTGGGGAGCTGCAGTGAGCATGCTGCTCAGGTAGTGTGGGTTATAGGAGGTGTGGGAGCTGCAGTGAGTGTGCTGCTCAGGTAGTGTGGGTTATAGGAGATGTGGGGAGCTGCAGTGAGCGTGCTTCTCAGGTAGTGTGTGTTAAAGGAGGTGTGGGGAGCTGCAGTGAGCGTGCTGCTCAGGTAGTGTGTGTTATAGGAGGTGTGGGGAGCTGCAGTGAGCGTGCTGCTCAGGTAGTGTGGGTTATAGGAGGTGTGGGGATCTGCAGTGAGCATGCTGCTCAGGTAGTGTGGGTTATAGGAGATGTGGGGAGCTGCAGTGAGCGTGCTGCTCAGGTAGTGTGGGTTATAGGAGGTGTGGGGAGCTGCAGGGCAGGGAAGCCATCTTTATTATATTGGACCATATAGAGCATGGCAGCTATATTTATTATATTGGACCATATAGAGCAGGGCAGCCATCTTTATTATATTGTACCATATAGAGCATGGCAGCTATATTTATTATATTGGACCATATAGAGCAGGGCAGCTATATTTATTATATTGGACCATATAGAGCATGGCAGCTATATTTATTATATTGGACCATATAGAGCATGGCAGCCATCTTTATTATATTGGACCATATAGAGCATGGCAGCTATATTTATTATATTGTGCCATATAGAGCAGGGCAGCCATCTTTATTATATTGTACCATATAGAGCATGGCAGCTATATTTATTATATTGGACCATATAGAGCATGGCAGCCATCTTTATTATATTGTACCATATAGAGCATGGCAGCTATATTTATTATATTGGACCATATAGAGCAGGGCAGCTATAATTATTATATTGGACCATATAGAGCATGGCAGCTTTATTTATTATATTGTACCACATAGAGCATGGCAGCCATCTTTATTATTTTGGACCATATAGAGCAGGGCAGCTATATTTATTATATTGGACCATATAGAGCAGGGCAGCTATATTTATTATATTGGACCATATAGAGCAGGGCAGCTATATTTATTATATTGGACCATATAGAGCATGGCAGCCATATTTATTATATTGGACCATATAGAGCAGGGCAGCCATATTTATTATATTGGACCATATAGAGCATGGCAGCTTTATTTATTATATTGGACCATATAGAGCAGGGCAGCTATATTTATTATATTGGACCATATAGAGCATGGCAGCTATATTTATTATATTGGACCATATAGAGCAGGGCAGCTATATTTATTATATTGGACCATATAGAGCATGGCAGCTATATTTATTATATTGGACCATATAGAGCAGGGCAGCTATATTTATTATATTGTACCATATAGAGCATGGCAGCTTTATTTATTATATTGGACCATATAGAGCATGGCAGCTATATTTATTATATTGGACCATATAGAGCAGGGCAGCTATATTTATTATATTGGACCATATAGAGCATGGCAGCTTTATTTATTATATTGGCCCATATAGAGCATGGCAGCTATATTTATTATATTGTACCATATAGAGCATGGCAGCTATATTTATTATATTGGACCATATAGAGCATGGCAGCTATATTTATTATATTGGACCATATAGAGCAGGGCAGCTATAGTTATTATATTGGACCATATAGAGCATGGCAGCCATATTTATTATATTGGACCATATAGAGCATGGCAGCTATATTTATTATATTGGACCATATAGAGCATGGCAGCTATATTTATTATATTGTACCATATAGAGCAGGGCAGCTATATTTATTATATTGGCCCATATAGAGCATGGCAGCTATATTTATTATATTGTACCATATAGAGCATGGCAGCTATATTTATTATATTGTACCATATAGAGCAGGGCAGCTATATTTATTATATTGGCCCATATAGAGCATGGCAGCTATATTTATTATATTGGCCCATATAGAGCAGGGCAGCTATATTTATTATATTGTACCATATAGAGCAGGGCAGCTATATTTATTATATTGGCCCATATAGAGCATGGCAGCTATATTTATTATATTGGACCATATAGAGCATGGCAGCTATATTTATTATATTGTACCATACAGAGCAGGGCAGCTATATTTATTATATTGGACCATATAGAGCATGGCAGCTATATTTATTATATTGGACCATATAGAGCATGGCAGCTATATTTATTATATTGGCCCATATAGAGCATGGCAGCCATCTTTATTATATTGTACCATATAGAGCATGGCAGCTATATTTATTATATTGGCCCATATAGAGCATGGCAGCTATATTTATTATATTGGCCCATATAGAGCATGGCAGCCATCTTTATTATATTGTACCATATAGAGCATGGCAGCTATATTTATTATATTGGACCATATAGAGCATGGCAGCTATATTTATTATATTGTACCATATAGAGCATGGCAGCTATATTTATTATATTGTACCATATAGAGCAGGGCAGCTATATTTATTATATTGGCCCATATAGAGCATGGCAGCTATATTTATTATATTGGACCATATAGAGCATGGCAGCTATATTTATTATATTGTACCATATAGAGCAGGGCAGCCATATTTATTATATTGGACCATATAGAGCAGGGCAGCCATCTTTATTATATTGGACCATATAGAGCAGGGCAGCTATATTTATTATATTGGACCATATAGAGCATGGCAGCTATATTTATTATATTGGCCCATATAGAGCATGGCAGCTATATTTATTATATTGGACCATATAGAGCATGGCAGCTATATTTATTATATTGGACCATATAGAGCAGGGCAGCTTTATTTATTATATTGGACCATATAGAGCATGACAGCTATATTTATTATATTGTACCATATAGAGCAGGGCAGCCATATTTATTATATTGGACCATATAGAGCAGGGCAGCTATATTTATTATATTGGACCATATAGAGCATGGCTGCTATATTTATTATATTGGACCATATAGAGCATGGCAGCTATATTTATTATATTGTACCATATAGAGCATGGCAGCTTTATTTATTATATTGGACCATATAGAGCATGGCAGCTATATTTATTATATTGGACCATATAGAGCATGGCAGCTATATTTATTATATTGGACCATATAGAGCATGGCAGCTTTATTTATTATATTGGACCATATAGAGCATGGCAGTCATCTTTATTATATTGTACCATATAGAGCATGGCAGCTATATTTATTATATTGTACCATATAGAGCAGGGCAGCTATATTTATTATATTGGACCATATAGAGCATGGCAGCTATATTTATTATATTGGACCATATAGAGCATGGCAGCCATATTTATTATATTGTACCATATAGAGCAGGGCAGCCATATTTATTATATTGGACCATATAGAGCATGGCAGCCATCTTTATTATATTGGACCATATAGAGCATGCAGCCATATTTATTATATTGGACCATATAGAGCATGGCAGCCATCTTTATTATATTGTACCATATAGAGCATGGCAGCTATATTTATTATATTGTACCATATAGAGCAGGGCAGCTATATTTATTATATTGGACCATATAGAGCATGGCAGCTATATTTATTATATTGGACCATATAGAGCAGGGCAGCCATATTTATTATATTGGACCATATAGAGCAGGGCAGCCATCTTTATTATATTGGACCATATAGAGCATGGCAGCCATATTTATTATATTGGACCATATAGAGCATGGCAGCTATATTTATTATATTGGACCATATAGAGCATGGTAGCCATCTTTATTATATTGTACCATATAGAGCATGGCAGCTATATTTATTATATTGGACCATATAGAGCATGGCAGCTATATTTATTATATTGGACCATATAGAGCAGGGCAGCTATATTTATTATATTGGACCATATAGAGCATGGTAGCCATCTTTATTATATTGTACCATATAGAGCAGGGCAGCTATATTTATTATATTGGACCATATAGAGCAGGGCAGCTATATTTATTATATTGGACCATATAGAGCAGGGCAGCTATATTTATTATATTGGACCATATAGAGCATGGTAGCCATCTTTATTATATTGTACCATATAGAGCATGGCAGCTATATTTATTATATTGGACCATATAGAGCATGGCAGCTATATTTATTATATTGGACCATATAGAGCAGGGCAGCTATATTTATTATATTGGACCATATAGAGCATGGTAGCCATCTTTATTATATTGTACCATATAGAGCAGGGCAGCTATATTTATTATATTGGACCATATAGAGCAGGGCAGCTTTATTTATTATATTGGCCCATATAGAGCAGGGCAGCCAATCTGTGAGTGATGGGACATTATATGAGAATATATTTATACCAGACACTCACAGACCTGTGTTTAACCCTGTAAGTGCCAGGCTGTGTGCAGCCGTTATTATACACTGTTATTATATTATAGTTATAGTTATTATACACTGTTATTATAGCCAGGTGTTATTATAGTTATTATACACTGTTATTATATCATGGTTATTATACACTGTTATTATATTATGGTTATTATACACTGTTATTATAACCAGGTGTTATTATAGTTATTATACACCGTTATTATATTATGGTTATTATACACTGTTATTATATTATAGTTATAGTTATTATACACTGTTATTATATTATAGTTATTATACACTATTATATTATAGTTATTATACACTGTTATTATATTATAGTTATTATATTATAGTTATTATAGCCAGGTGTTGCTCTGTATGTGGGTGCATTATAAAGCTGTGTTTAGTGTCAGACAATGTGATATATAGTTTATATTATAATGAGGAATTATTCAGGGCAGGTTATGTAAAGGGCTGGAGCCCAGCACTGGGTCTGTCGCCGTGGGGGTGTTTATTCCTCCAGCTGTGTATTAGCATGAGACCAGCACACTAACCCGGGCTGCAGGTCCCCCCCGCGAGTCTCGCCGAATGGTTCGCTCCGAGTGTTTATAACATGGCGCGCTAGGCCCGCCCCGCACAGTGCGGCGTGGAAAGCAGGGAGAGAGGACTTTGTGCGAGTCACCGAGACAAATCTGCGCAACATGGCTACTAACGGTAAGAACGGCCTGGGGGTACCGAATATCGCAGAGTATTGTGCGCTGCGGTCAGATGGCGGCTGTAACGCGCTGTGAGACCGTAATGGGGTCAGTGATGGCCCCGAGAACCATTCTGTGACCTTCCCCTCGTTACCCCGTCTCCCCTTCCCTACCCCGTCTCCCTTCCCTTCCCTACACCGTCTCCCCTCGTTACCCCGTGTCCCCCCCTTCCCTACACCGTCTCCCCTCGTTAACCCGTGTCCCCCCTTCCCCTATAATCCCTTTGTTCTCGGAACGGCCGCCATTTTGTGTCCGCGGTGAGGCTGGCGCCATTTTATGGCCGGGGGGAGGGGCTGCGAGGATGGAATGGCCGCAGGTTGCCATGGAGACAGCGCTTACAGGGCGAAGTGATCCGCGGCGCCTGCTATTGGCTGAGCTTGTTGCTAGGCGATGGCTCTCTGCGGCAGAATGTATGGGGCACCCAGCCTCTCCCACTGCTTCATAGATAGGGGGATCAGCCACCACACCTCCCATGGCCCCCCATAGATAGGGGGATCAGCCACCACACCTCCCATGGCCCCCCATAGATAGGGGGATCAGCCACCACACCTCCCATGGCCCCCCATAGATAGGGGGATCAGCCACCACACCTCCCATGGCCCCCCATAGATAGGGGGAACAGCCACCACACCTCCCATGGCCCCCCATAGATAGGGGGAACAGCCACCACACCTCCCATGGCCCCCATAGATAGGGGGATCAGCCACCACACCTCCCATGGCCCCCCATAGATAGGGGGAACAGCCACCACACCTCCCATGGCCCCCCATAGATAGGGGGAACAGCCACCACACCTCCCATGGCCCCCATAGATGGGGGATGGGTGTATATTGATCCGCCACACATCTCCCATGGATCCTATAGAGGGGGATGGGTGTATATGCGCAATGGCGCTAATCACATTAGCATTTTCTGTAGGAAAGCATTGCACAATTGGGTTTTGGGTAACGCTGGATGTACCCATACATAAAGTTCAGAAGTCGCTCCAGTGGCTGACTAATAGACAAGCACTAGAGGTGGAGTTAACCCACCAAGCTAACTATTGCAGTTTTTCAAAAACTGCAATGATTAGCTTTTCAGAGTTAAGAGACCTAGGACACTGTCCCCAGACGACTTCAATAAGCTAAGGGGTGTGGGTGCTTATAGTGTCCCTGTAAGCTAAAGTTGTTTTTATAGTGTGCCTTTTTAAATGATTAATTTAGAGGCACTCAGTGCAACAAGTTATGCTGTGTATCTCCTAAATGACTCTGTACTGCCCCCAGGAAACTTAAGTGTTAGGCTTATAATAAAAAATGTCAATTGGATAAATCGTTTAAAGCATGCTGCCTTTCTTATAAAATGAACATGCCTTTCACGGCTTGCAGGGAAGACAGTGAATCATGAGTATCCTTTCAAGTGCATAACTGTTCGTTTCTCTTTAAAGAATGGATTTTTATTTTTTTCCTTGTTTTGCAGATTATTCACAGCAGGCAAGCCAAGGGTAAGTACTTTGTCTATTAATGTTTATATCGTTTCATGCTTGTTTTGAAGATAGGTCTAATAGTGCTTTTGTTTCAGGTATGGGGCTTACCCCTCCCAGCCAGCTCAGAGCTATTCCCAGCAGGGAAGCCAGCCCTACAGCCAGCAGAGCTACAGCGGCTATGGCCAGTCTGGAGCTGCTTCATCTTATGGACAGAGTGGTGGCTACAGCTCCTCTTATGGGCAAGACCAGAACTGTAAGTAGGATATGGCAATACTGGAACATGCTTTCTTTAAAGGGCCACTATAGTGCCAGGAAAACTTTTTTTTTTTTTTTTCTGGCACTATAGTGCCCTGAGGGTGCCTCTACTGGCTCTGGGGAGAGGAAGGGGTTAAAATCTTGCCTTTCTCCAGCGCCGGGCGGGGAGCTTTCCTCCTCTCCTGCCTAGCGACGTCATCGGCGGGAGCTGCGCACGCATTCAGCCAGTTCATAGGAAAGCATTTACAATGCTTTCCTATGGTCGCTGGTGCCTTCTCGCTGTGATTTTCAGTGAGAAGCATGCAAATGCCTCTAGGTGCTGCCAGTGAGACAGCTACTAGAGGCTGGATTAACCCTCAGTGTAAACATAGCAGTTTCTCTGAAACTGCTATGTTTATAAAAAAAGTTAATCCTAGCTGGACCTGGCACCCAGACCACTTCATTAAGATGAAGTGGTCTGGGTGCCTATAGTGGTCCTTTAAGCATTAGACCAGAACAAGTGACTTGATGTACAAGAATTAGCAGCATCTATTGTCTCTGTGCTTGGGTGGCTTTCATTGATTGAGTGCTTCAGCAGAACTTTTAGGTAATAAATGCTGTCTAAATGTGGGAGTGAAATGTTTGCGTTGCAGTATCGCTAGCAGGGTTAACACAGTGAACTAATCAGGGACCACTGTTACATCCAAAATCAGATGATCAAGTAGCCTACTTGTACCATAAATACTGCAACAGCATGTTGTGGTTATGGTGCTTAGACTTCCCCTTTAAAGTAATTCTATAAGCTATGGAGTATGAGATGTGAAAAACAGATCTGCCTCTATAGATATGGATAGTGGGAGTAAAATTGTGACTGTTAAGACCAGAACACAACAGAGGAACAATGTTAAGTGGCTCTGATCAATTTTGGATCTAATACCAAAGTAAAGGGAGGTTTGGTGTTAAACACGTCACTCTTTATTGTAGACTCTGAGTTTAGTTGATTTTGCTTCAGTTATGTGACAAGAGCATTAGTCTTGATTACGATTTGTTCTATATTACAGCTGGGTATAGCTCACAGTCTGCCCCTCAGAGCTATGGGACTGGAAGCTATGGTAATTCCCAATCTTCTCAAAGCACCTACTCTGGAGGACAGCAACCATCTCAGTCCTCCTACTCCAGCTACCCCCAGCAGCCTCCAGCCAGCAGTAACACTGGAAGGTAAGTGTTCAGGGACCTCTATTGGCTCTAGATCAAGCATGTCAAACTCGAAGGCTAAGACAGGCCAAATAAACACTGCTTACGTTTGTGGGCCACTACCTTGACATTACATGTTTGGTAATGGGACTGAAATGGCGAGTGTATGTTGCACAGCTGTAAAACAAATATCTTGTTTATTTTGAAGTTCTAGGAGTGTGTTCTTCACTTTGGCTGAGATCCTCAAACTCCCATAGGAAAGCATTGGGATGCTATTGTAAATGTGGCAAAAAGCTGTGCGGTCAATCAGCATCTCCATGGGGAGCATTCATCGCCTCTATGCAGACCCAATCTAAGATCCAACACTGCTACTACTCCCCAAGTTAATACACTGCCCCTTCCCTTAAATTAATACATTGCCCACCACTCTGCACTGCCTCCCCCCAATTTAACACACTGGGCTCTCTCCTAAATTAATACACTGCCCCTCCCTCAAATTAGGAGTGTTCCCCCACCCCCCTCTCTATTAGCTGTCCGTCCTTCAGCCCTGCTAAAGCAGGCCAGACGGTCATCTGGCACTGCAAGCAGGAGGAACAGAGGAGTGGCTGCTCTGGACTGCTGAGCAGACACACAGCCACTCTGCCCTCTTGTGGCCAGGAGAGCAAGAATGAGGAAATATTTTCCCTGTCTTGCTGGTCGTAGCCATGGCTGGAAGCAGCCCCAGGGCAGATGTGCTGCAAATATGTTAACTGTGGGGGCTGCATGTTTGACATGCTTGCTCTCAATCTTGCCATTTTTAACCTCTGATAATTCTGTGTTACAGGCATTATAGAGGCTGAAAACGTTGCATTTTTCACCTAGTTTTTATGCATCTTATATTCTCCCTTTCTTCAAACCAGTTATGGCAGCAGCTCTCAGACTCCTTCTTACCAGCAACAACAGAGCACTGGCTATGGACAACAACCCAGTGGTGGTGGCGGCAGTGGTTATGGTGGACAACAGAGTGGCTACGGGGGCCAACAGCAATCCAGCTATGGGAGCCAACCAAATCAAAGCAGTTACAGCAGTCAGCAGCCAAGCTCATATGGACAGCAGTCCAGCTACAATTCCCCGCAGGGCTATGGCCAACAGCAAGCACAGTATGGTGGTGGAGGTGAGGAAACTGAGGCTACGTGGTGAAAAGTCACAGAATGCTTGCATGTGGTGAAATTGTTTCTGATCTTGGTCTTATTTCCCGTAGCTGGAGGATACAACCAGGATTCCCCTTCCATGGGCAGTGGCGGCTATGGTGGCTCTGACCAGGGAAGCTTTGGTGGGCCAGATGGCAGGGGGAGAGGTCGTGGAGGCTTTGGTGGGCGCGGAGGCTTTGACCGAGGTGGTAGAGGCAGCCGTGGAGGTCGAGGAGGAATGGGGTAGGTATCTGACCATGGGTGGTATGTGAGAGAAGAGCATGGTGTTTGACATGTGTGGCTTGAATGTGAGGTTTTTGAGAAATTTTCTGCCAAAGCTCTGATTAAGTGTTTTAGTCTAGCATTGCCAAGCTCTAATTAGCAGTACAATCAAATCAAAATATGTTAATGGGATTGATACATTATGATGTATGAAAACTCTGGTCTTTGGTTACTGTTTTTTTGTCTTTAAGTGAAAAGCATAAATTAGGCTGTGGGAAACATTATTTTCAAAATGACTTCTTCACATGGAGTTTCAGGGGATATGAGAACTGTTCTCAAGCAATGTTTTAATAAAAAAAATCTCTGGTACCAAAAGGTGTTAAGTATCAACTCAGGCAGGGTGTCTGAAAATCGACAAATCCAAACTTAAAATAAGGTAAAACGATCTGCTCGTGTTGGTTAGGGTCACTGCATTGGTAATAACTTTGTATGGATGCGTTACTGGGTACCAACTGCAGCCTCAGATTGAAACTGGTGCATAATGACTGCAGATGTTCTCATGAAACCTGGAGGGTATTGGTGAAACACACGGTCTCTGGATTATTTAAAAAAAAAAAATGGTTCAAAGTTCTGTAGCTGAACATTAAGTCTAGACAGATGCAATTTATCACAAGGAAATTCAAGGCACAAACTGTATGAATGTGTGGATGCAAAGTGTGTTTATTTAAATCGCAAAATTGTTTGAATACTCGGTAATGTGGGATTTCTGTAAACTTTAAAATCTGTACAAATCATAACATGGTGGGTAAATGTGTGTACAGCAGTTCTGTACAGATGCCAGCTAATGTAATCTCTCAGTACCTGGGTGTTAGTTGAAATGTTATTAAATACCTGAACAGCAGTATTTCTGTACGGATGCTAGCTGGAGGAGTTTAAAACCAGGACTACAATCTATTTAGAAAACTCTATTCTGCATTTCTGTACATAAAAGATGTTTATAATACATGAATAGCTAATTGTGTCTCTACAGATTGCTAGCTTGTGGGTAGACATTGTATAACGCAACCTCTGAAGTGTCCTTATTACAGACTATAGATAAGAGGGGCTTCTCTGGCAAATAAGGCGTGGCTTACTTGCTAGAGAAGGGTAAGTATACGCGTTGTAAGCTGTGGGGTTAGGAATAAAACTGCCAAACAATAATTGCTTTGTTGCTCTTTGCTTTGTGTTAACAAACTCTGCATTTTATGTGCTACAGGTTTCAAGGTCTGTCGTCAGCTTTCACAGTAGCTTATCAGCCAATATAACTTTAGGCATAGTGTTTCATAACTACTTATAGAGCTGGTCTAAGTACCTATAACCAAACTTTCATGGTGCTCGGTTATATTACACAAAAACTTGGTTTAAATTTTTTTTTTTTAAAAAGGGCAAATATTGAACTATTTCAAGGCAAAGGTGTCTGCAGTGTGATGTGAATCATGAGTGTGGTAACTAGCAATCACAATTCTGTAACTCAGTGCAAACAATTGTGTAATCAATACCTGCCACAAGGTGGCAGTAAAAGGCTGTAGGCCCTGAATCTCTTAATAGCCCGATTTTATACAAACAAGCAAGTGTTAGTTTGTACGTACAGAGTACTGGCAAGTCTAGTCTGTCACCGAATAAGAACTACTGTAGCCTCGGGAATCACAAACAAACTTCAATTTCTCCTAATTGTCTTCTCAGCGGTGGTGATCGGGGAGGATTCAGTAAATTTGGTGGTAAGTGAAGAGTTCAAAATCTCAAACACAAACTTCTGTGCTGTTTTCATTAATTCCAGCCATTCATACAATGGGTTTTCCTGGAGTACTGCATTCCTGTGGGGTTACAAAGTACAGGTTTCAAACATTACTTTGTGTATGTTGGTCAAAAATACAAAAAATAAACAATACACAAACCTCCTGGTGGTGCATTTAAATGGGTTTTTTTTTCAATGTGGGGTTCAGAGTTTGGTAAATGCATGCAGTTTTGTGAACTGGGAGAAAAAAAATCAGGGCACTTGGATTTTAAAAGAAAAATGGTTTTAAAGTGAGGGGAACTATAAAAATGGTTTTAGAAACATGGTGTGATCACAGCCACGCTTCTTACAAAAGGTTTATTACACAGGAAAGACCTTGTGTGATGGTGGTGCCATATTGTTACTGGGTAGACCTGGTTAACTGTTAAGTTTACACATTGGTACAAGGTAAAGGGACACACTTGAACATCCTCAAACCTCTGAATGGAAATGTCAAATGACAGGGATATGGAACAAAGGATGGTAACTGGTAGAACAGTGTTCATGGTTTCTTAAGGTATCATAACAAATATTCTGAAGTGTTCCTACCAGTCTGGTGTTCAGTTGCAAGGTTTTAACTCTTAATAGATCTTAGTTCCTATGTGTGACTGCCGATACAACTATAAGGAATCACCTAATGATAGTCTGAGTGCCAGTAATAGGAGTTTGTCATTCAGCCATTTGCGTTCTATAGTCTTCAATGAATGTCATGTGGGTGTTGGGTTGTGGGGGCTTGGGTGTGTTACTTTGTGAAACCAACTGCCGTATTCTGAGAGCCTGTCTTTTCTATTGAAGGACCACGTGAGGGAGGACCTCCCCCCAGACATGACATGGGTGGTGGTAAGTGTCTGCTTAGTTGGGGGTTGGGCTGAATTCATTTGAAAGTAAAGTATTAAATGCTAATGATATATTTTCTTTTTAAATCAGCTGAACAAGACAACTCTGACAATAACACAATCTTTGTGCAAGGCCTTGGTGAGAATGTAACAGTCGAGTCAGTAGCAGAATACTTCAAACAGATTGGAATCATTAAGGTGAGATCCTCTACTGGAACTACAAACCCAAATAGGATTGCATTTACAGTCATGTTCCCTCGCTCTCTGGAAATCTTGCCTCCTGACATGTTCTGTTTCCCCACTTAACTGATAAGATTCAAGATTTGCGTGTCCTAATCATGACTATAAATGTGGTCATTAATTGGGGGAAGCACATTTTAAAAATGTAATCACTGCCCCTTGAAAAGTGATAGTGAGTAACCATGTAAATTCCTGTCCATTACAGACTAACAAGAAGACTGGATTGCCCATGATAAATCTGTACACTGATCGGGAGACTGGCAAACTGAAGGGGGAAGCAACGGTCTCCTTTGATGACCCACCATCTGCTAAAGCTGCCATAGACTGGTTTGATGGTGAGTAATGGACTTGATTTTTATCATTCATTGACACTAGCTTGGATAGGATTCTAATTATCTGTTTTATATCCAGGCAAGGAGTTCTCGGGTAACCCTATAAAGGTGTCCTTTGCTACAAGGAGGGCTGATTTCAATAGCCGTGGTGGCGGTGCTGGAGCTGGTGCTGGTGGCAATGGCCGAGGCAGAGGACGTGGAGGTAAGTTTAGTAGCAGTGCTGGTTCATGTGTTAAATAGCTTCTACTGGGCAGTCTGGTTTTTTTTTTTCAAGCATTTACCTAATTTACTGCATAGTTTATTATGAATGTTTGGGTAGGACCTTTGTTATTTGCATTTCTCTGAGCTAGCTTCAACTTTTTTTTTCAGGTCCCATGGGACGAGGGGGCTTTGGAGGTCCACCTGGCCCAGCCAGCAGCAGAGGAGGAGGAGGAGGTGGTGGAGGAGGAGCCGGAGGATATCCTGGTGGTGGTGGTGGAGGAGGACAACAGCGAGCTGGAGACTGGAAGTGTCCCAACCCGTAAGTACAAGGCAGATAATAGACAATGCCTTGCAGTTTATTAGTTACTGTAAACTACTAATCACTCTATCCCTGTAGAACCTGTGAGAACATGAACTTCTCCTGGAGAAACGAGTGTAACCAGTGCAAGGCACCCAAACCAGATGGACCCGGCGGGCCAGGTGGATCTCACATGGGTGAGGATTGCTTCTTAACACATTACATGCTTGCCCTTTTCTATTTGACAACTAGAAGAGTTTAATGCAATTCTTGTTTTGCAGGTGGTGGTGGAGGTGGATTTGGTGATGAACGAAGGGGTGGCCGTGGCGGTTTTGACCGTGGAGGCTTTAGAGGAAGGGGCGGAGATAGAGGTGGTTTCCGGGGAAGCAGAGGGGGAGACCGTGGAGGTTTTGGACCAGGCAAAATGGAATCCAGGTGTGTTACTGCTCTGCTTCCTTGAAATTTTTTGTTTGTTTTTAATCATTTAGTCTACAAGCTTGTCGTTTTCAAGTTGTGTTGAGGTTCAGATTTCTTGTTTAACCTCAAATATTAATTACCTGTTAAGTCATCTCCTTTAGAACCACTCTCAGAGTTCACTAAATACTTGTATAGACTTGCAATGTTTAAAAAAAAAAAAAAAAAAATCTGAACAGGGAAAAGTTCTCCAACTTGCAAATAAATGGGTTGTTACCTGTTAAGTGCCACACACTTCCCAGTTTTCTGCACAAAGTAAAACAACTCTCTAAATGCTAACAACTTTTCAAAATGGGCCACCAATGTATCTGCTTTAATGTTTTGATATTAATTTGTATTTAATCTTGTTTTTTTAGGGGGGACCACAGGCAAGACAGACGAGAGAGGCCATATTAGCGGTCGCCAGCAGCCTTCTACCTTCAATTTGTTTTGGTTTTATTTTGTATTTTCAGGTGTATCCTATGGATTCTTGCTGAATATTCTGTTCATGTACACTTTGTATTGCGTCCACTGTGCGCCTGTGAATTTTATTAGTCTTTGTATAAAGTCCCTTACCCATTAAACAGATGCCCTTTTGATTGTGGGGTTTTTCATAATTTGGCAAATTGCATTGATGGCCTTATCCTCGTGTTCTGGGGGAGTGGGATACTCACACACTGGGTATAAAGGGTTGTGGAATGAGTTCCAATTAGTTTTATTGGGTGTCTGAGTTTAGGGAAACTGGCATGTATTATTTTGGCACTGGATGTACAGGAGTGGTTCTGTGATAATGTGTTCAAATAAAACGGTTCAATCCTTGATTCCACTCTAGCAAGTGTCACAGTATGGATCAGCTGTTAGCCTGTCCAGTTCCCACATAGGGTTTGTTCTCTTGTCATAAATGATTGTGTACAAAACCAATCTTGGTAGTTTACTACATCTGTGTTTTATAAAAAAACATTGGTATGTCAGATGTCTCCAGCTTTAATAAATGCCTTTTATTTAATGCGCTGCATGGATTTGTAAGTGATACTCTGGTATTGCTGGCACATGGCAATCTGTTCTAACAGGTACAGTAACGGTTTTAGTAAAAGATTAGCTTTAGATTTTGGTTTACAAAGTTCTAGATCCAATTTCACCTCCCAATCATTTGAAATAAGCAGTTAAAGTACTGGGGCTGGCATACACTGCCACTCGGACACTGAATCTTGGGTACTTTAAGCAGTGTGTAATGGTGAATAGAAAGGCATAGATGTTTACTGTATCAATGGCAGCTCATCATTACATGTAGGAATTAAGGGGGATGGCTGGCTGGTTCCTGTCCTTCATAAAGATTAAAAGCATATAGCAACAATTATCCTGGGAATACATACAGAATAGAGTAGTGAAAGTATGAGCCTTGAGGTTTCTTTGATACTGTCTTAGAGTGCAGAATAAAATGTTTTAGCTCCCCTGATCATCTGTAAAATCTGGCGCGACGAAGACTCGGGAGCAAAAATGTATTCTTTTCTGCACTTTAAAGACTGCTTATCAAAGAAACCTTCAGGATTAGTCTATCAACAAACTGTCTCTGCTGCTTAAAGGACCACTATAGTGCCAGGAAAACACTTTTCCCTCCTGGCACTAGTGCCCCCTCCCACCGGGCTCTGGAGAGAGGAAGGGTTTAAACTTACCTTTCTCCAGCGCCAGGCGGGGAGCTTTCCTCTTTGGCTGAATGCACATGCGCAGCAGGAGCTGCACGCGCATTCAGCCAGTCTCCTAGGAAAGCATTTACAATGCTTTCCTATGGATGCTGGTGTCTTCTCACTGATTTTCACAGTGAGAAGCACACAAGCGCCTCTAGTGGCTGGCTTAACCCTAACCTAAACATAGCAGTTTCTCTGAAACTTTATTTAAATAAAAAAAGGGGGGGGAGGGGGGGGTGGTTAACCCTAGCTGGACCTGAAACCCAGACCACTTCATTAAACTGAAGTGGTCTGGGTGCCTATAGTGGTCCTTTAACAGGAGGCAAATATTTCCTCCATCTAAAATGTACTTGTCTTGGTGGTTTGGCCATATGCTGTCTTTATAACACTTGTCACTCCTTGCTGCAATCAATCTGTCTTTTAATTATTACAACACTCCCTTTTTATAGATTGAATCCCCACTCCCTGTATTTGTCTTTAATTGGCAGCACAGAGAGCTGGCTGACTGGTTCATATCACTACCTCATTGTGGCAATATGAGGGACAGGGGCGTATTAGCCGCAAGGCAAACAAGGCATTTGCCTTGGGCGGCATTTTTCATAGGGCAGCAAAAAAAAGCCGCCCCCAAATGCCTGCTAACAGACATGCTGGGCGGGCGAGGGAGCTCTTCCTCTGAGCTGTCTGCTCAGCTCCCTCGCGCACCGCAGAGTGAGGCTGGGAGCCGGAATATGATATTCCAGCTCCCAGTCTCACTCTGAGGCGTGCGAGGAAGCTGAGCAGCGTGCTCAGAGGAAGAGCTTCTTCGCCAGCCCACCAGCCACTGGTCCCCCAGGGAGAAAGAGGAAACCACCCCTCCCCCCCCCCCAGCATTCCCAAAGGTAAGGAGGCTGGGGGGTTAAATTAAAAAAAAAAAGTGTGTGTATATGTCTTAGTGTTATGTGTGTATTTAGAAGGCGGTGGAGGGGGCGTCAGTTTTGTCCTGCCTAGGGCAGCACAAAACCGGGATAAAATAACTTGCCATGTAATGCTTGAAATGAAGATGTATATTATGGGTTTAATTGGTATGGCATGTATTAAATAGTTTAAACCCCTTAAAATGAACAGTTCAAGCCCATCAAATGTCTTTGTATCCTTCTATTATGAGGAACTTATATGTATTACAGGCCTTTATAAAGCGCCAACATATCACAGAGCGCTGTACAGTTGGGGGAAAAAGACAAATGTTACAGAAGCCATGTGGGCTTACAAGCTAAAGGATAAAACCACTTTCTAAATCCCTCTCCTTACTCAATGGAAGTCAACATGGCCCTCATATTAGCAAATGGTTAAAATATGCCCATGCTTGCTGTGCTGCAAGTAGGGCCAGGTTTAATAAACCGTGATCCTCCAGTGGCTGCTCACTGTTTTAAGATCCCCCCCCCATCATGCTAGGGCACTTACTACAATAGCTAACAGTGGGGGAGGGAAGCATAATGTCCCCAACCATGCTACCTGAGTGGTCCCTATTAAATTAAACAGGGGACCTAGTGTCCCCCCACCCATTAGTGCTGGGGGGGGGGGGCTTTAAATAATAATGGACTGATATATTTTCCCTGAGCTAGTTAGGGGGTGGGACTGATTGTCTCCCAGCCTCCACATATTAGCAGCTGGTGAGGACTCCATAATGTGGGGTGGGGGGGGGGAGAGAAACCTATTGTTCCAACAACCATTAACAGTGGGTGGGGGGCTAATTGTATAAATAACACTCTTCTCTCCCCCATTCCAGTCTCCTCCCTAATAAATACTCTACCTACCCCCCTCAATAGTGAGGCAGGCCAGTAAACAAGTTACCTGAATATATATATATATATATTTTTTTTTTTTTTTAACTTTTGGTCCAAAAAAGGCCAAATCATTTCATAAAGACCTTGTCATACTTGATTCAGGCCTCACATCCAGCATGTTACCAAGTCCAGTAGATTCTATCTTAAAAACATTGCCTGCATCCGCCCCTTTTTTGCAAGATGCTACCAAGGAGCTTGTCCATGCTCTAGTAATTTCCTGCATGGATTATTGTAGCCCTCTCCTGATTGGTCTTCCTTAAAACCCTATTGCCCTGCTACAGTCTGTAATGAATGCTGCAGCCAGACTGATTTTCCTCTCTAGTTGATCCTCTCACACCTCACCCTTTGTCAGTCCTTACATTGGCTTGCTGTATCCTATAGGAGTCAATTCAAAGTGGTAACCCATACCTATACAGCCCCTCATATCTCTTCATCGATCCATAGGTATGCCCCTTCTCTGTCTCTCCGCTCTGCCTGTGACCTTCTCCTGTCCACTACTCGCACCCGTATGGGCTTCTCGCGGGCGGGTCCTTTCCTATGGAATAGCCTGCCTACCGCCATCAGACTCTCCCATCTCTTTAGGAAAGCCTATGGCCTCCCAGACTAACCTCACATACCTATCTTCGTACTTTACTCTCCCCTCCAGCTCTGCTTCACTCCCACCTTATTTAATTGCTATTTCCTGTGTTTTATACCCCACCTCCTATAGACTGTAAGCTGTTTGAGCAGGGCCCTCTTCAACCTATCGTTCCTGAAAGTTTTCTTGTAATTGTCCTATTTATAGTTAAATCCCCCTTCTAATAATATTGTAAAGTGCTACGGAATCTGTTGGCGCTATATAAATGGCAATATTAATAATGTTTTTTAGTTAGAAATAGCTGGGAAACTGGTATGAAAGAGGAAGTGATTGGGAAAAGGTACGTTTGGCGTGACAGGGCCACTTTAACGGTTCAATGTATTCCCAGACCAGTTCATCTCAATACCAAGTCTCTGCCTGCTTAACCAGCAATGTAAAGCATTACCGTTTTGTAGGAACACCAATGTTTATATCGCAATGGTTAGCTTCCTAGGAAATAGCAGATTAAACTATTAATAAACAAATGGAATAGCTACAGCTACCAATTTAGTAGGTAGTCCAGATTCTCTCATGGTGGTAAGAGTCTAGATGTTGAGTGTTTCAGATTGCAACACTGCACAGCCAGGGTAATTTGCACTTGTGTGCCAGGGGCTAGTTGCACCCCACCATACATGACATTAATCAGGGCCGCCATCAGGGCATGACAACCGTAACGGTTGTCATGGGCCTGGGGGGCCCGGACTGCTCAGGTCGTCCGGGCCCCACATTCAGTGGGTACATACCGGGGTCGCAGCGGGTCCTGCAACCCCGGTATGTACCCACAGGGCCAGCCTCTTCCCCTGGGGGGCCCAGCAGCCGGTCCCCTCAGGGCCCCCCAGAGGCTGGCCCTGCTGACACCCGGCGGGCGGGCCGGCGCGCGAGGGAGCACTCTCTGTGTGCTTCCTCTTCAGCTACCTCGCGCACCGTACTGATGCGAAGCCGGAAGATGACGTCATCTTCCGGCTCCGGCATCAGTACGCG